ACCTCCGCGTTGGTCGTGTCTGTGTGGACTCTGTGAGTGAGGAGCGTCGAGCAGGGCGTCGTTACTCACGCTCGATTGAGCGGCTCTTGTCCGTCAGGTGGCCCGACGAGTCGGGAATTACGGCAGGACCTTGGTCAGGACGAGATGCCGTGGGGGTGCTGACGCCTTGCGTATCGTCCGAAGGGCTGCCAAGTAAGTCCAGGTGCGCAGAGGGATTTACTGAGGCATCCTTTGCGGCGTTGGCCTGACATCGGTCAGACGATTGTTCTGCTCCTCTGAGCCTCCGGAGAACTCACCGCTGCATTGTCGCCATCTGGTCTGACCGCTGAGCTTTCAGTGCTCGATAGAGACGTCAGATGGGTAGTCGGGGTGTCCTTGTGTGGGCCACCGACAGGGTCTGAAGCGGACTTTACATCAACGCGTGAATTCCCAGAGATAACGGTTGCGTCAAGATCTCCCTCTTTCGCATCTATGGTGACTAAATGATATCAGTGGACGCATGTCAGCTTTCTGTTGCTCCTCACCACTAGCAGCGGGCGTGCCAGACGTTCCTTGAGGCAGGATCGAGGCACCGTCATCGGCCCTTGGCTCTTTGTCGTCTCCGTGGCCGAGTGAACCGTGACGTTCCTCCGGTTCTGCTTCAGAGTCGACAGCGACGGTCTTCTGAGAGACCGGAGGATGGCGACTGCTCCTGGTACCCGCGGCGACAACGTCGTCGCCAGCAGCGCAAAGGGCCGGGTCACTGTCAGCCTTGGCGTCTGACCTTATGGAGGCAGATATCTTTGATGGGCTCTCATCTACCGAAGGGGAATATCGTTCCCTCTTGGGAATCCGGAGATCGTTGCCACTGTCGAGTTTAACTTCGAACCGAGGGCGCTTGATTCCCCAATGCACATGGCTGTGGGCTGAGAGTGGCCGGGTCACGTTGTCGTCCGTCGCCGCTTTCCGTGACCGCTTCCTCGGGGGAGATCCGGGGAGTTGGGCGGTGGGTGCCATGGTGGTAGTGGTCGCGGTTCAAGTTGTGGGGGAAATGAACCACGTCAAAACAAAGCTAAATAGGAAAAGAGGGTGGACCCTCAAGCGCAAATTGACCATATAGAGAACAAAGACATACCGGCTGGGCGCGCTTTGGTTTCCCAGGCCCCCGGGAGTAGGCCCGGACGCCACTACGCTTGGACGATTTTTGCTTAAACGACCACTCGCTCTCTGAGTCTGGGCGGGTAACATTACTTTCCCTTTGCTCTACTTGACGGTAGGGGGCCCAATCTACCCCCAACGGTCGCATTTACCAGAAGGGAAGGACATCGCTAACCTGGCTCTGGACATCTGGGGTCCTCTTTACCCATGCACAGCTTATCGGGATCATCAGACTAACCGATATCTGATGACACTCTGCCTTTCCATGGGCCTTGAAGTTCGTACTATGCCTACGCGTGCTTTCCTTTTCATGGGCTTCCGCGCTTACCTCTAATGTCCGTAGGAGTCACCAGCTATGCCGGAAAACTTGCCCTAGAATTTAATGGAACTCGAATATCAGCTATACTCAACCGCAATGTGGGCGTCATACGCCTCAGAGTCGAGTATACAGATATGCTGACTTTACCTGAGCGGGCTGAATGCCATAATTCACCCTGACACGAACCTGGGGCAGTACGACGCGGTATCCGTGATAATCAGTGCGTTACCAGCGGGTCTACAAATATTCTGATTTGTTCTCATAGCCTGGCCGAGGTCTGGATGTATTCTGCCAGCAGCCTAGCCTACAATAATCGATGGCCCGCTCTGGCAGTAATCTGCGGGACGCCTCAGAACCGGGGAGATTGGACACGTACTCGTTTGACGGAGTTAATACTCATATCATTTCATGTCTGTTAATTGCCTGGTGATGACTGAACGAAGCCTCACGTTGCATAGCCCACAATCGCTTCGCATGAAAATTTGGCGAATAGTTGCCGCATGCAGGAGTCAGCAGAGTCCTACCGATCCCATTACACCTGAAGAACCTCAGCATCCCTCCTTGAAAATGATGCATTCCAAAGTAGCATATCCAAGATACAGTCGAGACAGGTTCGTGCCACGCATGTGGCAATCTCAGTCAGAGCGCGAGGTTAGGTTAATCCGTGACGTGACACATCGCGTCTCTAGATCTTCGTGATTCAGTTTGCGGCTGGTCGTCGTGGCGTCGACTCGTACACTCAGAGGGCAATTTTCGACGGTCATCATTTTCCACTGATGCTGGGACCTCGAAGTCCTGTGAGGAAGCGCATACTCGTGGGATGTCCCCTACAACTTGCGACATCAATGATCTCGGTCTAAATCATGCTTGCGAATGCTGCAGCGACAATTCTGACCCTGATACCTCCAAGCTTGGAAGGACACTTATGGTTTGATCTTAATATCTAAAGGAGAATGGATGAGTTCTGGCGTTCCATTTCGACTGGTAAGCTGGAACAAGCCTCTTGATCTGGATCACCGTTCATGGTCCCGCAGATCACCGCGTCCTTCACA